CAAGCATGCATGCAAACAAACAAACAAAACAAACAAGCAAACAAACAAAACAAGCAAGCAAGCAAGCCAGCAAGCAAACAAACAAGCAAACAAACAAAACAAACAAACAAGCATGCAAACAAACAAACCAGCATGCAAACAAACAAACAAACAAACAAAAAAAGGTAGACTGGAAGTGCATAAGGAAAAATAATCAATAAAATGTTCTTGGAAATCAAACTCCTGAACAGTCTCTAGTAGAGACGCACATCAAAATAATGTTTCTTTTTCTTCACGAGGGAAATCAGAAGGGCGTGGCTTAGACGGCACGGAGGTTGTCTGTGATTGGTCAACATCATTTTTACATTTGAACTATTTACTGTGTATTTTAAATTCCCTGTATAGCAACTGTTCTTAGTGTCATTACTAATATGAATGTATTATTCAAACCGCTGCTGACGCAGTCCTTGTCACATGATACCTGATTATTTTCTCATCGCTGATCAAGATGGACCAATCACAGTCCTTTGTGATTACAGAATTACGCGTTTTGGGTGATAATTTTATAGAGACTACTGAAGCGGATTTCTGTTCGATCATCAGGTTCTATTCCTTATAAATAATAAAAACAAACGATTATGCTTTTCGGTGTACACACGTCTGTAGAAAGGGAAAAAACGAGCTAAGATTTCAATGCGTCTCAATGGTGGATTCGGATTTCTGGGCCACCGCTTGGAAGAAGCAAAACCACTGATAGGAAAGTTTTTTTGATCATCAGCATTTGCTTCCCACTGGTTAAAGATCACGGTTAATGTGTTTCCTCAAAGAGTATCATGAAACGTGGATTTCATCCGATGTTTCCAGTTTATTTGCATCCTCGTGCGTCCTAAAGGCGAAACACGGCGGTACAGCAAGCCAGCAAGCAAACAAACAAGCAAACAAACAAAACAAACAAACAAGCATGCAAACAAACAAACCAGCATGCAAACAAACAAACAAACAAACAAAAAAAGGTAGACTGGAAGTGCATAAGGAAAAATAATCAATAAAATGTTCTTGGAAATCAAACTCCTGAACAGTCTCTAGTAGAGACGCACATCAAAATAATGTTTCTTTTTCTTCACGAGGGAAATCAGAAGGGCGTGGCTTAGACGGCACGGAGGTTGTCTGTGATTGGTCAACATCATTTTTACATTTGAACTATTTACTGTGTATTTTAAATTCCCTGTATAGCAACTGTTCTTAGTGTCATTACTAATATGAATGTATTATTCAAACCGCTGCTGACGCAGTCCTTGTCACATGATACCTGATTATTTTCTCATCGCTGATCAAGATGGACCAATCACAGTCCTTTGTGATTACAGAATTACGCGTTTTGGGTGATAATTTTATAGAGACTACTGAAGCGGATTTCTGTTCGATCATCAGGTTCTATTCCTTATAAATAATAAAAACTAACGATTATGCTTTTCGGTGTACACACGTCTGTAGAAAGGGAAAAAACGAGCTAAGATTTCAAGGCGTCTCAATGGTGGATTCGGATTTCTGGGCCACCGCTTGGAAGAAGCAAAACCACTGATAGGAAAGTTTTTTTGATCATCAGCATTTGCTTCCCACTGGTTAAAGATCACGGTTAATGTGTTTCCTCAAAGAGTATCATGAAACGTGGATTTCATCCGATGTTTCCAGTTTATTTGCATCCTCGTGCGTCCTAAAGGCGAAACACGGCGGTAGAGGTGTTTAGTTTTGAGGTAAGTGGTTTATTTCTAGGAGAAATGTAGAGGCGCGTGAATGCTTGACCGCTTTTGTTTAGTTATACTTTCTGGAAATACCCGGCATGTGTTATTATGGACGTGCTTTTAACAGGGCAAACATCAAAACAGGGTTAATGTTTAGAAATGTTTACTGTTAAGCGGCTTATCAGTTATAAAGAAATTAAATTTGACTGTCGATTCATCTTGTTAAAAAGTCAACAGGTGTAGGCGACATACCGTACTATTTAGCCTAATGACAGTGTTTATACAACATATATTCTGAAAACTAAGTATGCTTTTTTTTTTTTTTACTTATTTATATCTTTAGGACCTAAAATTGTGATATTTTTAAATCCACAATAAAAGCCTTCAATGCAATACTAAAAAATAAAAATATAATGCGGTTTAAAAACACAGTAATAATATCTAAGCTGTACATTAAAGTTATTTATTTATTTATGCATTTATTAATTAAATGACTAGCCACTGTATTCATAATTTAAGTTTTGTAAAAGTTTAATCAGGTATTTTTTTTTGTCTGTTTAATTCTTATCTTTAGTCTGAAAAATAATGCAGTTTATTTAACCAGGTAAGTCAGTTGAGAACCATTTCTCATTTACAATGACGACCTGGCCAAGAGGCAGCATAAAAAGCAGGTACAATACAATAAAAAACATAATAAAGTTACAAATAACACAATTATAAACGATAACATATAAAAACAAACAGATAACTAAAAACAAGTACAATGGTCTTGTACTATTGACTGAATTAAATTTTTAAAGGAAGAGAGCGAAATAAATGAACTAAGCTTTAAAGTCTGCTGCAGATGATTCCAATCATATGCAACAGAAAACTGAAAAGAGCAACGACCAAAGGACGTACGGACTTTAGGTATGCAGAAATTAATGAAACTACTAGAGTGCAGATTACGACTTGTATTATGAATATTAAGAAGTGACTGTAAATATAATGGCGTTTTCCCGATAAGAGTTTTATAAATGAACAGAAACCAATGAATTTGTCTACGAGAATGAAGAGAAGACCAGTTCAATAAAGAGTACAAGTGGCAATGGTGAGTGTTAAATTAAGCTCCAGTCACAAAGCGGATTGCTGCATGGTAAATAATATCCAGTTTATGAAGGAGAGTTTTTGAAGCAGACCTGTAAACTATATCACCATAGTCCAAAATTGGGAGAACTGACATTTTAACCAAAAGCTGTTTTGAAAAATGTGTAAAAGAAGATTTGTTACGATAAAGAAAACCGATATGAGATTTAACCTTTCTGAGCAGTACATTTATGTGAGTTTCAAATTACAATTTGCTATCAAGCCAGAGACCAAGGTATTTGTAGCATTCAACATAATCAATCTCAGAGCCGTCCAATGAGAGAATTTTAGGCAAATATTCAACATGTGATAGATTTCTGTTAAAAACCATACATTTTGTTTTATTTGTATTTAAAACTAATTGTAGACTAGAGAACACACGACAAAATAATGATCTTTAAAATAGCATCATATGACCCCTTTAACCAGACAGGCATCAGACGGCACAGTAAGCAGCAGTGGCCTCTGTTACTCAAGTGCTCTTGGAAACAGACACCTGAGCCACAGCCTCCTCATCCTCCCCCACCCATGACATCACACGGCTCTTATCTGCTGCCAAACACAAAGCTGCATTTAGCTCGCAGTAATCAGCGCTGTGACCTAACCTGCCGTGGACTTTGTAGAAAACGAAGCGTTTGAGAGAGGCGGGGCATAGCCTACAATAACGTACAGTATTTGAAAAATAATGTGTTTTTTGAACATTAAAGCATGTCAACATATTCTGTTACACCAAATACACAAAATAATGATCTTTAAAATAGCATCATATGACCCCTTTAACCAGACAGGCATCAGACGGCACAGTAAGCAGCAGTGGCCTCTGTTACTCAAGTGCTCTTGGAAACAGACACCTGAGCCACAGCCTCCTCATCCTCCCCCACCCATGACATCACACGGCTCTTAACTGCTGCCAAACACAAAGCTGCATTTAGCTCGCAGTAATCAGCGCTGTGACCTAACCTGCCGTACACTGGAGATGCGTGAAGATTTAGGTGTGCTTTTTTGTAAGTTTGATTCACGTAATATGCTGAAATAATGGATCTATGAACTCTGCTGGACTCAACTTGGAGTTCTCAAGATCTGAGGTAAGATGTCATGCAAGGAGTTTGTTAAAATGTGAGGAGAAATGCATATGAAATATATGTAATAAAAACCTGTGGCATGAGTTCTGAGCCAGGTATAGAGCAAACTGAGCAGTGTGATCGACAGCAGACAATGAATTTAGAATTTCTTTAAATTTCTTTTTTTCAGTAGTTTAAATGTTTTCTAATGTTACGCAGACCTGCCAACTTGTATGCGTTTTGCGTAGCGCATTTTAACCTCAAAGTACGCTGGCATGATTTGTCGCTCTAAAATATGCAAAAACCTGGTGACGCCTGTGCTCGCATAGTACTCAAATCAAGCAACACAAAAGAAGAAGAGTTTGACCAATCAGAACGCTGGGTTCATTCCCTAAATAACAAGCAGGCATGATTGACAAATGCGTAAGGCCTTTCATTAAAAAGAGGCCGCAGATCGATGGCAACACAAAATCCCGCTCGATCCCTCCTCTATTCCCGCCATCTGATTTCTTAAGCGAGTACAGTACAGTAGTCATTACTTTGTGTTTTTTTTTTGTTTTTATTTTGTTTTATTTTTTTTTCGATTTTGATTTTAAATAATTTCTGTGCATTTTATTTCTCTCGGAACTGGCTCTGTTTGTGTGTGTCCGTGAGTCTGCGTGCTGAGATGAGGAAATGCCTCCCCGCTTATAACGCGAATTTGAAAACAACACATGCCGTGATGACTATGACTTGTAATGAGAAGCGTTTCTAAACCTGCTGTCCAACAAAAGAGAACGTTACAACATGTTTTTACTCCACAACATCAGTTGAGTGTTTGAAATAACTTTTGTGATCTGATGTGGCTTCTTATCACAGAATGTGTCAGAAAATATATTCTATAGTGTAAAAAAGGTTATGTTGATAAGCAATGGATTATAAATATACAAAATTATTATGAAAATACCCGAGATGGCTTGAAGAACACTGATAAACTATACATTGCCGCAGTCGAGTGTTTATTGTCTTAATATTGCGTCATTCAAAACGTTTCTATCTCTTTTAAGTCAGCTACAGCGACAGCTGGATGTCTTTGTCCATATTAGGGATTTCCTGGAACATCAGGAGCTCTATTACTATTGTGATGCAAATGTGGTTTCTGTGCGAGGGCACCCTCCGGCTTCCAGACATTACATGTGTTTATAGCGTGCAATAATGGCCAATCAATAAAAAAATAATACTTCTCTCAAAAGAAATTTGAAGTAGATCCATGTTTTTCTGCAGTGTACAGACTTGTACTGGAGTTTTAATTAACGTGAACTGGAGTTTTTTAAAATAGCATTTTAAATCGCAAATTTCCAGAACGCTGACTGTTACTATAGCAACCGGGAATTCTAACAGCAGCTGAAGTGCCGTTACTTTACTGATTAGTGATTGGCTCTTTTATTCAGAAGGCGGTGCTTCCTTCGATAGAGCGGCCATATTGAGCGTTGCATTTTTGCCCATTCCGAGTGACACGTCTTGGGTATTCTATAGTCTTTGACTGTGCTGTGGCTTTGGTGTGTGTGCTATATGGAGCAGAGCAGATGCTTTCAGTTTACAATTGTAGCATCCATTGTCCAACTGAACTAAATGGTTTTTATTTCTATAAAACAGTGGGGGCAGTACCACGGTGGGCAAGTAATGTATTCAGTGTACCGCCGAACACATAGATCACAACAGCATAGACCACCGCAGCAAGCCTAAAAGAAAGAATAAAAAAAAAAAAATAGAAATATAACAAAAATGTATTTGCTATCATAATTTAATGTGTCCTTGAGCATACATGTCTTTAAAAAATCTTGCTGAGCCCAAGCTTTTGAATGGTAGTGTTTGAGGAATAAAAGTGCTGCTTGTCTTGTCAGGTAGAGATCTGATTAAACAGATGGTTTTCAATGGGTATGTTGATAAATATGCTGTGGTTTTCCAGCTGTAACACTTATCTCATGGTCTTGGACAGAACTGTGGCCCTCATGCTTTGAAGTTTTAATCATTGTTGCTATGGCAATTAAAAAAAAAAACAAGTAGTTACACATCAAGCTCCACCTCCACACCTTTCATTTGTGACCCTCCCCCAAAAAAAAAAAAAATAGAAATATAACAAAAATGTATTTGCTATCATAATTTAATGTGTCCTTGAGCATACATGTCTTTAAAAAATCTTGCTGAGCCCAAGCTTTTGAATGGTAGTGTTTGAGGAATAAAAGTGCTGCTTGTCTTGTCAGGTAGAGATCTGATTAAACAGATGGTTTTCAATGGGTATGTTGATAAATTTGCTGTGGTTTTCCAGCTGTAACACTTATCTCATGGTCTTGGACAGAACTGTGGCCCTCATGCTTTGAAGTTTCAATCATTGTTGCTATGGCAATTTAAAAAAAAAACAAGTAGTTACACATCAAGCTCCACCTCCACACCTTTCATTTGTGACCCTCCCCCAAAACACACACACACACACACACTCACTCACTCACTCAAGCATTACTAATGTGGCTTTCTGGAGAACTCCATAGACTACAAACAGTTACGATTTCACTGCAGCTTTTGAACTGCAGTAGATCAGGAACCACTTCAAAACGTGCATTGATCAGAAGGTGTGGTCTTTTCAGGTCAGAGTAATAAAAGAGGCTTTATGTCTCAAATGACATTTAATAGCACTCAGTTTCCACACCCAGAAGGACAATTTATAATTTTGCATTCATAATGACTCGGGGTTTATTGTTGACATAATATTGCACTATGACATTCATGACAAATCTTGAGACTCGTGTCACTGAGAACTACTTCATTCACATTTTCAGTTCTTTGCAGATGTTTATCTGATGTCTCATTTTTGATGCAGGGAGAAACTGAAATTCCTGTTTGTTATACTTCTTTTTTCCCCCCAGTTAAGCTATATATCTTTAAACCAAACATGTTTATACTGGCTGATCTTGCCAAGTCTTTTCTCAAATGTAAAAAAGAAGCAGGCTCAGTAGTCACGATCCGGTGTCAGTAAGGGACACCAGTATCAAATGTCACTATTGAGTGTTGCTGTTCAATGTGCTTGAAACAAAAACAGTGGTATTTACCTGATGCTGTACAATTTTCTATATAGTACGATCAAGTTTTTGCTCACACTATTGGCAAGCAACTGCACTGAACTTGGTCATGTGGTGTATGTTTTAGTACTTCCTCTGAATAATGCCAAAAATAGTGCCCTACCTATATTGTAAACCTATTTATTTGGCTATTCAGACTAGGAGTGGGTGGTATGGCCAAGTTAGATGAATTTGTTTCTTTACTGGAACAGATTTGGATAAATTTAGTATTATATCACTTTCTCACCAATGAATCCTCTGCAGTGAATGGGTGCCGTCAGAATAAGAGTCCAAACAGCTGATAAAAACATCACAATAATGCACAAGTAATCCACACCACTCCAGTCCATCAGTTAACATCTTGTGAAGTGAAAAGCTGCATGTAAGAAACAAATTCATCATTAAGACGTTTTTATCTTTAAACCGTTGCTTCCATCTAACATACGAGTCCTGTATCTATAATATTGCTTTCTCCCGTAAAAAGTCATCTTGTCTGAATCAGGAGAGAAATATGTACAAATCAAGCATCGTTTAAAAGTGAAATCCAGTCCAAAACAGTTGGAAACAAATATGTCTGTGGAGGACAGGGTAGACGACTTCACTGGGAGAAGTGTTATTATGGGTGGTTAAAATGCCTTAATATTTTTTTCTTACAATCACAAGATTTTAACTGATGGACTGGAATCATGGGGATTACTTGTGGGTTATTGTGATGTTTTTATCAGCTGTTTGGACACTCATTCTGACGGCACCCATTCACTGCAGAGGATCCACTGGCGAGCAAGTGATGTAATGATACATTTCTCCAAATCTGATGGAAAAAACAGACTCGTCTACATCTTGGATGGCCTGAGAGAGTATATTTTCAGCAATTTTTATTTTTATGGGTGAACTTTTCCTTGAAGAACATGACATCTTGAACAACAAATAGTTTCATTACCCAATTACCTAAATTTAATTGCATTTTTTTTAATTTTATTAAATTTTGGTTTTGTTTTTCAGCTAAAGGAAAACTTTAAATTTGGTGTCGTTAAAAAAATCATTTCGGTGTGTCATTACTACTAATACAAAATACTTCCTCGTTGGATTAGTTTCTTCTCTCTCTCTTTGTATCTCTTTCTCTGTATAAGCATATAGTGGTATAGAAGAATCTTTATTGTACTGTTTCATTATTTGCATTTAGCATTTTCTTTCCTGTTGTCCACAAACTTATCCTATCAGACTTGTGGCCCATTTTTGGGTCGCAACCCACCAGCTGAGAACGACTGTCATATCAGAAACCTCTAGGGTTTATGATAATTCATATCCATCTAACTATCCAGCTAGAATTCGATTGGACTCATATACTGTACAAATTGTAGTCTTTTGTATGAAATTACTCCTAGTGTGTGCATAATTACTCTGCTTTGTTTTCAAAAAGACAGGCTTATTTGATATGGAAATACATTTTAATATAGAGTAGGGGCTTGTTATATCACTTGGGGGCAAAAAAGATTAAAAAGCAAAACAAAAGTAGCTGTTTCTTCAGCAACATTGTCCGCTAATTAAATTTTACACCTGAGGCACTTATGCAGCCCTGATTATTTCGAGACTACCAAGGCCAATACCTGAGCATGTTATTGCCTGTTTTAAACGTTGACTGTGCAGTATTTTGCCGCACAAAAGTTGCACTATGCTGATTACTGAGGTTTACCCAAACTCAAAGGCCTAATAATCTTCTTGGGCCTCCTTTCAGAGTCTTGACACATGATAATTATCTCATAATTCAGATAAGCTGCCCCGATTGTTAGGTCAGATCGAATTATTATAATTTGTCATTTTGCAGATGCATGAAATTCGAAAAGACATTGATTGCAGGGTCCTCATGGATCATCATGCGATGGAATGCTTCGTTTGAGGGTGAAACATGCTGATAGGTTTTTTAGTAATTCTCGTCAAGTTTCGATTATGTAATATTATTACAATTTTAAATAAGGGTTCTCTGTTTATTTTTTTTTAAATGTGAATTATTCCTGTTATGCAAAGCTGAATTTTCAGCATCAGTCTTCAGTGTCACATGATCCTTCAGAAATCTGCCACTATAGAAACATTTCTTATTATTATCAATATTGAAAACATTTATGCTGATCAATATTTTTTGTGGAAACCGGGAGGATGAATATAAAGGATCGATGATGCTAACTTCTGAACTGGCCTACAAAAATACACCATCCCTGCAGGTGGTATAAATATATATACCTATATATAATATGTATATGTACCCAGCTCTATCTCAGTCTGTTCATATAACTGTTTCTAAATGCCCGTGTTGATAAAACTCAGTTTGTCTCCAGGTCTGCTGATTTCCCTCCGTCCTCATGAAGTCAGTATTGTTCATTACTATGAATAAGCAGGTGTCAGAGAAAGAGGTTTCTGTAACCATTTCAGCTGAGAGGAAATCTATATTTGATCTTTGTTATTGTCACATCAGCAAAGTGTTTCAAAGTGTGTGATGAAACAACTTCCCCTTTTAAATTGTTGCTGGCATTACTCTTTGTGCAATAGAACATTATGAAAGGAAACCAGAAGAGCCACACCTCAAGGTGGGAAGCCATGTTTCTCCTTTGATGTAGATGAACTCCACGTATCGTCCATGTATTTGAAGTATAAGCTTATATAGGTATATATCATCTTACAGCACAGGTGTATTGTAGTGAAATGTTAGACAGCTTAAAGGCAGTTTCACTTGTCACTACGGCATTCAGGTTCAGCCAGGCGTTTCAGTCCTGCACAGAAGAAATCACTTTTTTAAATCAATATTCTTGAGTCTCATTAACTAATAATTGCATAGATTATTCATATTCATACGCATACGCAAAATTCTGCCTTATTCACAAAACATTCATGTACGTGTATTTGTTCTTAACCTAGTTCTAATGTTAATGAATTTGGAGTATTGAGAGACCGTGTACCAATGCAGGGTTACTAGTTAGCATGAAATCATATATTTGCATATTAACATACAATCAAATATTTGTATGTATATATAACTGCTAATAAACAGAGAGCACACTAGTAATATGCATGCTAGTTAATAGTGAGAATTGGTCTTTAAAATAAAGTGTTAAAAGCAGCTATAGAGAAAAAAGAAGTCGCAAGAAAATGTGTATTTTCTGAGAACAAAACTTATCTTACACAATTTTGCCTCCCAAGTAAATGTGTGCTGATATGTTTTCTTCTGGAAAACAAGACGATGCTGAAAAAAAAAAAAAGTAATTTGCATTGCAAAACCAGATATTAAAGGTAAAATGTGAAGGTTGTGTGAAGAGGGAAGGTAGAGCAATCTGAGTACAAGAGAAGAGGATTAGAATGGGTATTATTAGAGCTGTCTGTTTATCTATTCACCTTTCACCTTAAATATAGCAGCGCTGTTTTAACCAATGAAAGAATGGCTGGCTGAAGTATTGCATGTCAGACTGGTTGTTAATTAAGGAATTTGTTTGTTCTATGAGGGTAAACGGCATAAAAACATCCCCATCGGTTCTTTCCCCGCGGGGCCCGGAGTTGCACCCC